AAAAAAAAAAAAAAAAAAAAAAAAAAAACACATCATAGTAAAACCAATACCTTCTCAGCTTCGCATCGAAGCTAAAAAAACCCAGCATAATTGACACGTGGTATAGTAGGGTCCAGTATAAATTTAAGCAGACAGTGATCATAAAAAACGCTTCAATGCAAATCTGTAGTTAGTGCTTTATTTTAAAAAATTGGTGGATTATTCCAAAAACAAGGAGAGTAATATCTCTAACTATTTGTGATAATTTGTCGTATTGTTTAAAAATATTGGCCAATGACAGTCACAAAAAAAATCATATAGTAAAATATTTTAATATGAATAAGAAATTTTTTCTCAAGAGGGGACACTACAGTGATGAGATCCTTGATATTTATTAAATGTATTCAATTCAATTGAGATAAAAATCAAATGAACTTAAATTTTTTTTTAACCTTAGAAAAGAATTAAGAAAAAATGCAAAAAAAAAAATAGTTTGTCGAATACGATATATTTCGTAAAATATGCAGTATTTCCGGAATATTTTCAAAAGTTAAGTTGAAAAAGTTGACTTTTATAAAAAAAGTTTCTATTTTGAATACCCCTGTGAACAGGTTAAGTGTCAAATTTAAAAAAAAATGATATCAAATGCAAGGGGAATATTTATGATTTCAATATAAAAAAAATTTATTTTAATTCATTCCAATTTTTATAGCAATTTAAAAAAGCGAGGAAAAAGAAGATGGTATTAGTAAATTTTTTGAAAAAATTTATGTAAAACTTTCATGTAAATGTAAACATATTAAATTAAATATTACAGTTGAAGTTTTATAATTTTAGAAGTAAATACAATTATAAATAAAAATTAAAAATAAACAAAGGTAAAATTAAAATTTTATTGTATTTAAATTTTTTGAGATAATTACTTTAACGCCTTACTATTTTTGAGTGGTCAATTTAATTTACGTGTATGTCAAATGGTTTACTAATAATCACTAAAATTGAAACTATAAATTCGAAAGTATATATGATAAAAAGCGAAAGTAAAAAATTTAATTTAAATAGATTTATGTTGTTGAATAGCAGTATCACCTTCGGTAGCTCAGTTGGTAGAGCGGTGGACTGTAGTGTATAACAACATAGATATCCATAGGTCGCTGGTTCAAATCCGGCCCGAAGGAAAATTTTTATTTACAACTTTTCTAGTTAAGAATTATAAAATACTTTATTAAAGCTTATTTTATTTTTGGGATCTTAAGTTTAATGTGATATTAAAGTGGCTGAATCTGTATTACTTATCTGATTTATTTTACCAATGAACATTGAATTTTTTTAAAGACTTAATAATTTGCCTAATTTATAAGTTAAAGCAAAATACTATGTTACTTAATATTATTGTTAAATTGTTTTCATTATTATTAATGAAAATTAAAGATATGTATAAATTTTATAAATATGTATGTTAATAAATTTTATAAAATTTTATAATATTACTTTTAGACTATTTGGATATGAACTATCACAAAACTTTGATATCATTCTGATTATACTCAAAATTAAGAATGCTATTAAATTTCATTTTTCAAAAGCGAGATGAACATAAAGAGAAGAATAGCACAAGCAAAACAGGCATTTTACAAGAAGAAGCACCTATTCCACGCCAAATATTGTTAACCTATATATCAGAAAAACTCTTATAATGAGTTTTGTATGGAGTATAGCCCTCTATGGGGCAGAAATATAGACAGTACTCAAAGCGGAAAGAGAAAGTATTGAAGCTTTGAAACATGGTGTAGGAGAAGAACACTGAATATTTCTTGGACAGAGAAAGTTAAAAATGAGGAAGTGAGATAAGAATGAACGAACAATAGCAATATGAAAAACAATAAGAGAAAGGAAGAAAAACTAGATCGGACATATTATGAAAAACAATGAATGGAAAACGACAATAATAGAAGGAAATATAAAAGGAAAAGCTGGAAGAGGTAGACCAAGAACACCAATTGTAAAACAGATCATAGAAGACATAGGGAAAACCGATTATAAGGAACTGAAAGTGGCTGTGATGGATAGAGACTAGCGAAGAGCAATCAAAGTAATTTAACCAATGTAAGGATTGAAAAAAAAATTATATTTCATTTTTCTCGCCAATTTTATATTGCAATAGGACAAAAATCAAAAATTCAAATTATAAAACGCCTGTCAATTTAAGGAATAGTAAAATTTATATACAGTAATGCTACATGAATCGCTAGTGATATAATATATATTCGCCATTATTGTAGCATTTTACAAAATACCCTGAGGTATTTAGAGCGAAAGTAAAAACCAAATTTAAAAAGAATTATCTTGTCGTTTCCATACATCGCCTTCGGTAGCTCAGTTGGTAGAGCGGTGGACTGTAGTGTATAAGAGCATAGATATCCATAGGTCGCTGGTTCAAATCCGGCCCGAAGGAATCAAAATTTTTATTTAGTTATAAAATTACATTTATTTTTTCTCAAAATTTAAGGTGACGTAATTTTATTTAAATATATTCAAACTTTACATATTGTTAATGTGGGTATAAATAAATATTTTATTCTTTATTTTTTTTAATTATACTATATATATAGAGTATTCAAAAGTAAGAAAAGTTGTTACAAACAATGAGAACAATAAAAACTCGTTTCCTTACTTACTGAACATTCTATATATATTACGTTAATATTAACACTATAAATTTTTCTTGGAGTTTTTATTATTTAATGTGTAAAAGAAAGACGTTATGAGTAGAAAGTTATTTTTAATATTTTTTCGATAAAATTAATAAAATGAAAAATAACAGATAAATATTTTTTGTAAATTTATGGCTGTTTAATTTTAATGTTTAACTTTATTTTTTTACCTCAATATGAATAACCCATAGCTATTAATAAAAAGTAGGCAATAATTGTCGTTTTATTTTATTCTTTGTTCAGATTGCACGATGAAAAATTAGGATATATACATTTAGTACTAAAAACAAATAGTAGTGCTTACTAAGCAGCAATGTGATGATCGCTATACATAATGTCTATCGATGTTGTGCTATCAATTACGATAGTTAATGATCGCCATGGGACTGTATAAACTTTTCGGTCAGATCACTGCTACTAATATTTTCAACTTGGAAACTATCGTTAATATTTGCACACCTTTCACATTTCACTAACAATTGTTGTTTTATTCTTACAAATGTTTTATTTCTCAATTTTATCAAAGCACACATGCCATGTTTTATTACATTGATTTAATATAAACTACTCCAATTTTATCAAATTTTGTATTTTTGTGGTTATTAGAATTTATTTTAAAGAGTTTTAATAACTAATAGATACAAAATTGTACCGAAATCAAGTATATAAAATAACTTAAATATTACTCCATTATTCTTTATTAATTCAATAAAGTAAAAGTTTTAAAAAACCTAAAATAAAAAAGTTTCGGGTTCGAAACTCGGTCACGGGCGGCTTCATTTGCCGAACAAGAGATCAGTTCAGTAATTGGAGTCATCATCCCACTCTCTGACGACGGACTAACCACCCATCCTGGAGTATAAATGGTTAAGAAAACCTCCTCCTAGGGGGAAGTCGCTATGACCCTTATAATGGACTAATAAAAGAAATAAAAAATTAAGTAAAAAAGATCACATTTATGTGATTGTATCTTTTCAAATCAAAATTTATTTTACTTATATCACTCTATTTTATTTTTCTAAGTTCATGCATTTTACTTAATAAAAAAACGCCTACTATTCTGTCTAAGTGTGTGTTACCAGATTTCGACACATAAGACATTTCACTGTATTTATTAATAATTTATTGAACAATTTTTCGCCAATGTAAGATGATACATACTTGAATATTCTTTTATTTTAATTTATTTTTAAACTAATTTAAATTCATATGTAATTATCTTACTTTAGATCGAGTACCATTTGTTTCTTCCACACAGTAGACATGTCGCACTCTTATTCCACCCCCGCATGTTTTGCTACAAGGACTCCAATTGTCATCAGCAACCCATCTTAAACACATTAAATGTACAAAATAATGACTAAAAATAAAAAATAATAATCGTTACTTCTTAAAATTATTACTTTATAGTTGTTTCTGGTTTATTTAGGAGATTAAAATAACAATTATAGATCAATATAGATAATTATAAATCGATAAATTTGATCTGTTATTTTGAAGTTTAGTGTATAAATTAAATAACAAAATTAATTTAAAAGTTGCAAGTGATACACTTATTACCCCGATTTAAATTTACTCTTTCATCAATTAATTTAAAGAGTATCATGATTATACTAAACATTTTATGTAATAAGAGATGTATAAAAAGATTACCATAACTAAGTACAAGACTTGTCGTAGTTTTTTCGGTAAGACTTTTTACTCTTTTTTTTTTATTACTATTGTGTGTTATGTTTTCAAAAGTTTATTTTTTATGTTTTGTGACAAAGAAAAAATTCTTCTTTTTATTTCTGAATTATCTTTGATTTTGTTAAAAAAATTTACAACACCAAATATTTAATATTATAATTTTATTGAAATATATGAGTGATTTATGTATACTTGAAATTCTTAGGAATACACTTTATATTATTATACTCGAAAATTTACCAACAGTTTTTTATTCGATTGAATTACTACTAACAAAACTTGGATGTCAAACCAAAAAAGGTATCCACGATAATTTAAAAATGTTCATTTTTGTGTTATAAAAATATACAGGGTTTCTCAGATGTATCTTTTGATCTAATTATCATCACATTGAATTTTTTTTTTTTAATTATTACCTTCTTAAACTACGTTAAAACATATGTTTACTATTCATCTCAAAAAAAAAAAAAAATATAGAATTTTTATTTCTAATAAAATTTTGAAATTGCCATATCTTAGCCCTATTTTAACAAAAAAACTGTGCTGGTTTAATGACAATTTAGAATAAGTACTGTATTTGAATCCATATTTCTGTATCGCCAGTGAGTGCATCCCGTACTAGTATACATATACTCCATTCGCTTTTCATACTCTCTCTATGCATCTGATACACTTGTATATTTGTAATTATGCTAATACTCTTTGAAGTAGTATTATATACAGTACATTTTACCTTTCAAGTTAATAGTTCAAATTGAAAAGGGTTCGAACATTTTAAATGAATGCATTATTGAGTTAAAAAAAGAATAATATTTTATTAAATTGTTAACAATCGTCCAATTGTTTTTAAATAACTCAACAAATACGATATCTAAGTATCTAAATGCGAATTTATGGTTTAAAGTGGGGCTACTAAAATATCATATAATAGAGCTTGATAATATATCTCGATTTGGAACGCGAAACATTTATATAGGTGTAGCAGCACGGTACTTGTTTGGGTAGTTTATATTGTTTCCTGTCGTTGTTAAAAAGGGCTGGGATAGTCACGGTAGAATGTTTTATGAGCGGACAAAAACGGTTGTTTATTTTTGCCAAACTATATTTTTGGATAACAAACGCTGTAAGTGTTATTTTTTGTTTGCCGACTTTTACTTTTATTTACTTTGAAAACAAATCGGAAACCAATTTCGTTTGGTGAAAATTGGCTTGATAAAAATAAGAAATAAAAAAAAAGTGTGAACATAATATTTACTTGCATAAGTGTCGTGTAGCATTTGTCAAGGATAAAAAGTGTTTTAGGTATTTGCTGTTATATTAAATGCCTTTTGGGTTCAAAAGTTTTCGAAATTTTTGCATAAAAATGTACCATCCATTAATCAATGAAAAATTATTATATTTTTCTAAATATCATGTATGTATGTTAATCTCGATTGTATATAATAATGTCCTAAATGGACATAAAATGAGACAAATTTTATAGATTTGAAACTAAAGTCATAATTTTAAAATACATATTTGCAAAAGACTTCTTTTTTTTCGATTACAGGCGACGTTTATGGAAGAATAGCCAATAAATGAATTTTTATCGAACCCTATTCATGTATCATGTTATGAGTATATAAACATCAAATTCTTTACTGGCCATAAATTATTTTATAACGGTATCCATTAGTTACCCGACTATAATCATTGATTTTGGGAATTTAATAATCAAATTCCACGTGAATGTATATTTTCTAATGTATATTTATACACTTATATTTATAACAGTTCTAATTATACCATTTACTATTCCGAGCGAAACATGTAAAAAAAATTCCACCGTAATAAACTCTACTAGAACTTTACCGGTGGAAGAAAAAATGCTGGCATATCGTTCGATGGCCGATGAGTACTATCGGATGCAAGCATTAATTGATGTTATCCGGTACAACAGGCAAAAATCAGCTTCTTTAATGGAAGAATATAAAGAACAATTGGAAAGAGCCAAAGGCAGAGCTCAAAAGTGTGCTTTTGCTCTTGAACGCGGACAAAGAGATGTAGCAAAATGGACAGAAAGGGCAAAAACTGCTCATTTCCATCTTAGAGACAAACATCAGGTACGTTAAAACTAAAAACGAATAATTTCTAAGTAAGGCTTTTTAATGTGATAAATCAAATTATTACACTTATAATTTTTTCTGCTAAAAATATATTACCGGTAAGTATGATTTAGGTTTAATTTATGTTTAACATAGACATGTGTTTGTATATCATTTGTGTAAATTACTCATTTTGATTAATAAGTACAATAACAATAAACCATAAATAATACATATGAATATGTATGACGAATAATTAATGATTGTCAAACTTATTCTTATGAATAGTTTGTATTATAATACATACAACTATAGTAATTATTTGTGGCATTTGTGTAAAATTATTCCTATTTGAAACTTATACTGAATACAAAAAGACTACACAGACGCCAATCAGCTTTACATATTAACTTTGAAATTGTTGGTGAAAACATTACGACGAAACGGAACTTTTACGAAGTTTAAATAGTTGAGGAAAAAGTTTTTATCACATCACACGTCTTAGTTTTAAGTTTAATACCATATCTCTTGTAAAAGTTTTTTTCTTTTTGATAGTGATGAAATCTTAAATATTTTATTAGTGTCATTGATATGTGTTACCATCAGGAAACGATCAATATGAACTCATAGAGAAAAGTGTGTAAAATACAACGTTTAGTTTAATAATTGACAAATCTAAAACGCGAGCTTACTATTAATAGATAGACTAGCAATAATAAAATTCAATTTAATATAATTTTAATTGAAATAATATTAGGCACAAGTGATAAATTTTTATTAAATAAAAATCAAATACAGTTGATAATTTTAATCTCAATAGTATTAAGACAATGCTCTCACAATATTTTAAAAATCATTTCTAGATTTAATGTTTTTAATAAATTATGTGATTCAAATTTATTAAAGCTGTTATTTTCAATAACTCCTCTACAAATTTATTTGTGTATAAAATTCAAGATTTAGAGTTGTAAAAAAAAAAATCTTCAAATATACTAAATTGTAAACATTAAATTTTATTTAAAAAATTCTTCTAAACTACAGTGAAAAATATATCATTTTTCTGATGCAAGAGTTATTTAAAAAAACACATTCTTATGATCCAATGAATCAATTTTATATAAATCATTGTTATTTTTTATTTAAGTTACGTTAAAAATTATTCTAAGCCTATAACTAAATCTAATTGAACAAATGACGAAAGTTTTTGTCAAAAATACTTTCTGGTTTTATATGGTGAATCATGTCTAGTTTTAAATGTGTTTTATTTGGACACCCATTAAGATGTAAGAAAGTTTCGTACGCTTTTAAAACTGTTATTCAAGTGTGTAACTATTATTTCATTGGTTTATTTTCTAAAATGTATTTTGATCACATATCGAATCTACTGTTTCGATATAATAAAGATCTAACTGAAACATTTAAGAAATATTATCGTACATTATTCAATACAATAGACACGTATGTTCCATTTAAAGATCGTACCATTGAAAGCTTAAGTCTACATTATAAAAACATTTTACAGAAACACATTGTATTATTGTTACCACTATTAAGTATTATTAAATTTAAGAGAGTATATATCTCGATTCAGTTCTAATTTTCAAATATTTTAATAGAAAGTGTAGTTAATTTATAGATAAACTATGAAGACCGCACATTTTTGTCATGCCAACGCCTCAGAAACTAAGAAATTATGCTGCGTCGTTTTTAAAATCAATTAATTGTAATTTATAATGATTTTGATTGGGCTTAACCAAAAAGCAATTTCATACAGTTTGATGAATGGCAAATGTTTTTTAATTGTTCTTTGGGATTTCGAATAAAATATTATAGGCTTGTCCCGTAATGTATACAAAATAATAATACATTTCTCCCGAAAATGTGAAAAATGTACAGTATAATATGTAAACAAAAAATTTGAGTTATGTAATTAAAAAAAATATGATATTTAAAATCTTTGTTACAAAATAATTTTGTTTAATAACCTTTTTGTACAACAAAATTTTTACACAGGGTCATTATAAAACAATATAAAAATGTATGCCATTATATAAATTTACTTCTTCAATAGAGGTGATTTAACTTTTATAAAAATTTGAAACGTTTACTGAAATAAAATTATCCAAAAATTAATTTAAATATTTTATTTTTATTTTATTTTATTTATTTTATTTTTTAAGGATCTATTCATTCACTGTTTCGAATTTCTCCAAATGAAACAGTAAAATAGTTTGTTCTTTAATAAAAAACAAAAAGTTGCTCATTTTTTAAAATTTATTTGTCGAATTTATAAAAATATGAGGAACTATATTGTGTATAAGACCACAAAAATATTATTTAAATAGTACATGTTTAACTGTAATCGAAATTTAACGGAGATGAAATAATTTTCAAATAGTTTTAATAGCAAATAAGTTCTCTCGAAGATCTAACACATACGTCAAGTATAAACTTTATAGAATAGTTCTGAAACTACGTTGATACTTCATTCGTTAATTTAAAATCACAAGAAATTACAACTATGCAACTAAGTGTTCATTTTTTATTTACCTTATAAAACATTCATTATTACTATCAATGGTTATATGAATAAATATAAACGGAGAATTTTTTATAGCAAGACAGATTTATCTAAAAACAATAACAACGTTAAGAATATTATTTTTAGTATTTTTTAGTTTCATATATTTCTTGATATATAAATTATTAAATTATTAACTTTTAATATAATAATAATAATAATAATTATTAATATATTTTTTTTATTTATCCCCTATAATTTTTATGAGTGACAACCTTGCTTTAAAATTAAAAAATGTAAAAATATATAACTCAAAAAGACACAAAAATTACTAAAAAATTGCAGATCCGTAAGATTTTTTAATTATTGTTATTATTTTAGGATAATTCTATTGGTTAGCGATACAATAATTATTAAGTAAAAAAGCACTATTTTCTTAGATTTTATATTAAATTTAAAAGATTTATAATCTAATTATATCATATAATGCAATAATTTATTGTGTTATTTTTAAACAATAATTCTGTAGTCATTTTTAATGAAACATCATTTTAGTTAATTATTACTACCATCATTATTTATAATATTAATATTGAACTTATACTTTTAGGCTATGGAGGAAGCTGAGATTATCGAGTCATGCATGTCATCATTAATATTGTCAACAAATTTGAATACATTTAATAAAGATAATGAATTGAGACTTAAAGAATCTAGTAAAAAAATGATTGAACAAGGTATTGTAGGGTTTTTAAAAAACTACACATCTGATTTGGCCAAATAATTGTTACTATGGTTAAATATTTAATCAATTTCTTTTAACTATAACATTCATCATAATGATTTGTTAATTTATATTATTTAAAAATAGTTAATAAAGGCATTTTATTTAAATATTGTATTATTTATATTTTGTAAAATAATTTTACTGTGGAAAATAAATTATAACAATGGGAAACTGGTGTCACAGAGACTTTAATTGAAATTATAATCCCAGCTATATAAAGTCTCGGTGAGATTTTCCCACATGAGTTTTCTAGCTAGTTAAATTATAGATGCTTTTATTGTACATATTTTTGCTACCGTTATAATATTTATGTACTAGACTAAAGTTTCGGTGATCTCATGGTGACAACTGCTGTGCTTTTACCGAGAAAAATTCCACGATTCATACCCATACTAACACATTTGAGTCTCTTTTGCACTTGAAAAGGGGTTGCATATTTAATGTACAAAACGTGTCTCAGTAGCCTATTCGGATGGAAAACATAACATATACATATCACCTATAACTACTCACAATGCTAACGAAAAAATCGTACACGCACTGCCAAGCCTAGTGCCTTTTTTATGTCAACTTACTTGGGAGGACAAGGATGACTATTACATTCTACTGACAAATCACTACTCGTTGGCTTTTCGCCTGGGCAAAGATCAGCATCCACTTCAACGCCAGTATCTCTATTTTGGCATATTATTCTAGTTACTTCGTAACCTAAAAAATCAAAATTTATAAATACCTTAGTGAGATTGTTATTAATAATTATGTTTTAGGAATTTTTTTTGTCATTCTAACACACTCTTTTACTAAATAAAATACATTTTTCTTTAATCAATTCAAATTGCATGCTCAATATAAATAAAGTACAAATTTAAAAAGTACATAATACAAGTTTTAAACTAATTGAACTTAAATTTAATGTATTTTTTCAGATAAATATTGATTATCATTGCTAAACATAATTCTAGAACCAGAAAAAAATAAGCTATAGTCCCGGAAAGGATGTTTTAGTAGATCCCCAACAAAAAAGTTTTGTTAGTATTTAACTAAATTAGAAAAATAAAACCCTTAATCTGGGATCGCACATTTCATTATTTAACGAATATACTTTATCAATAAATTTAATTTTAATAATTTTAGTATGATTTTGATATAATATATCATGAAAGTAATTCTACTCAGCAAATGAATATTAATAAGTTATTCGAAAAAGTTAAACGACAAAACAATGAGTAATCGATTTATATCAAGTTTATTTGTCTGTTATTTAAGGGATGGGTTACCAAAATGGAATTTCGGTAAGTTCTTTTATTTCGTATAAAAAATTAATCTTCATTCACGTAAACTGTATTCTATTCACAGAACAAAAAAGTTATCTAAAATATTATTTGTACTAAAAATGTAACAATAGCAACATAATAATACAGTTTCTACAAGTTTACGAAGTCTTTTTTAATAAAAGTATACTATATATTTCGTGTAGTACATCAAAATATGTTTTACATTGTATAAATACCGAGTGTGGAAAGTAAACCTTAAAAAGTAATAACACTTTTGCGGATGTCGGAAAAAATATATAAGCCTTATAGTATAGGTATTGTTTTTCCCCATAAAATTCTAAAATATTTTTTATTGTGTTTCAAGAACAATACATTTTTTTGATATTTGATTTTAGATTAAAATGTAAAAACAACAAATCGTATCGCCAATTAACTGATTTAATTTTTGTCTTACCACATCGTAAACTTTTTTGTTAGTCTTCAAATTTTATTTTTTTTCATATTTTGACTTAATGTTTGATGATGATTTTTTTAAGAATATTTTTCTCGAAGACATTAATATATCTATTTATTTTTTTTTATAAAACATCTCTCATAAAGCGTTGTTAATATGCAACACTAGCTCAGTCATGTGATGTTTATATGAATTTATAAATAATGTTGATTTCCCAGTCCTGTTGTAAATTACTATCCGTAGAATGAATAATCATATGTATACGATCGAGTCACGTAACAAAATAAGGATGTCCGATAAAATTGGATTTGGAAATTGGACCTTATTGACATTTAACACCGAAACAAAAGAAAATACATTTACTTTTTTTCACTCGAAAATGTTATAAAAAGCTGTAGAGTTGTTTCTGACAGTCAATTATTTTAGTAACTGATCTTTAGAAAATAATCTATTATTTTTCTACCTTTGTATTATTTTACATCAGTCTAAAAAAAGTAGATCCAACATATCGTCATGATAACGGATTAATCGATAGTAACCCTTTTCAAACGTTTACTCTATACATAGAAAATCATCCGTCTGGCAAATTAACGTAAACTGTATTTTAGCGATTTTCATAAATAAGAAAAATATATTTAACGACATTTCTTTTAAGTGTATATATTTTCAACCTCTGTATAATTATCGTTCAGTATAATAAAATCTATACAAATTACTGACGTAATAATTCATCGCACAATGTCATTATCAAAATATAATGACACTGCAAAGTGTGTGGCACTAGTAAAATAGACTAGTATTGAATTTGAGAAGGGAATCGATTTGAAAGGCAATAAAAAAATGTTTACACGTAACTTGGATGTATGTATGTATTCCTATACGTGTGGAGTGATTTTTACAGCTCCTTAGGGATATAATTTTATACTTCGACAACGACAACGATCTGTCGTGTTGGTAACTCAATCCATATTGGTGAAGTACTATGTTTTATAATTTATAAAAAATAAAGTTATATTGCATTCAGTGTAGTATAGAAGTTCTAATATACTATTGTTATACTCTTCTGTTAAGTACTTATACGTGTATTAAAGCTTTTATACAAAGTTGAAATAAGCGCGTTAATACATTATAGTCCATGAAAAATAGCTTAAGCCCTTTTTTAAATGAATAAGGTTAAAACCAGAAACGCAATGTTGTCAAGTTGGCTGAACATAACAGTTTAACTGAGTTAAATGAAGAGATAAAATATATTAAATAAGGATTGAATCAAAGTTAGATTTCAGAGGTAGGTAGATATTTTTTAAATTCATTTTCATTTGAAGTAGCCTTGGGAGTTCGTTATAATCGCGAGTTAAAAAGTATTCAAATTATTCTTATAGTTAATGATGAAAATATTTTTATAAATATATTTTCAAAAATTTGAGTAGAAAAAATCATAGAAAAACAATAATTATACTTTTAAATAATGTACAGCTTGCAGTTATTTTATTTCAAAGATTGCACAAACAATAATACAAACAAATGGCACTTCTATAACAAAGAGATTTTAATGGATTACATTTTCAATCTCTATAGAAAGAAGACGGCTAATAAACTAGTGAAAGACTTAAACTAATAAACTAAACTAAAGAGGTTAGAAAGAAAATAAAGGGTAGATGTTGAATATTAATAAAGAAAAAATGTCATATAGAGTATTAACCGCGAGTGACTTTACAGAGTATTCGAAACCATTAATCACATTACGGACAAAAGGGCGATAAGAGACAACAGAAATAAACAGGCTGCAGTACACTAAAATTGATTAAACCGTTTTATCATTGTCAGCATTTTTCACTTGTCTGTGGTCAAAATGCCAAGAGTAGCAGACAGTTATTACAAGTTAACAGATATTAAGATTATTGCTTTTTAGTATATTTAAAACTTAATGAAATTATTTAAACACTTATGTTATTTTTATTACGAACTTTTATAATAAATATACAACTTGTGAAATTCAAAATAGAGAATAATATAATTTTATTTATACAATTTTCACTTACCACCACCACAAGACACCGAACATCCACTTCCTATTTTGCTCCAACGAAATAATTCTTTAGAACATGACAAACCATCACCACCACAAACTCCACATTCATCTACGCTGGTCTTTGAACCAATTTCTAAGTTGCAACCAACCCTCTAGAAAAAAAAAACAAATTAAATGTTTTTTCCTTAAAATGTTTTAATTATATCTGAAGACGCAAACAAGTTATATAACTTATAATTGAAAGTCTAATCAATAAAATTTATTAACTTAATAAACACTGAGATTAAAAAAAAATCTTAGTATTTACAAAATAACATTTAAAAAAATAAGATATATTTATTCAAAGCTATCGAAATGTTTTCTATTATAGAAAGTTACTTTTATTGATGCAGACGTCAGAATTGAAAAATATTGAAATCTTTCATCCATAAAAATGACATATTTTTTAAGTGTACTATACATTTTATACAATAAAAACGATTAAATATCAAAGAATCCTACTCGAAAAAGTGACAGATTAGCGGTTGCTAAATGAAGTGCCTCGAATGACTTTACTATACTTAATAAAGCCTTTGAATTCACTAAGAGCCTTTCTTAATTTCCAATCTTTGAAAATGTTAATGATTTTTCACGTTAGTATAAGTACCATAACCTAAAAAACATTTTTGATAGCTGATTTTTGAAACCTAATTTGACACTGAACATTAAAAATGGCTATTGAAACAAAGTTTAATAATATTTCTCAAATTGAACATCAACAATAAAAATTGATTGATTGCTATAGATTTAGTTAAAATATATATGCTAACCTAATAAAGTCATGAGTTCACTAAGTATGCTAATTTAGCTTACCTGGCATATTCCATCAATACACATATCCAGAGAACCTAGTCTACACCTAGTTCCATCACGAACCCTTGGTGCCATTTCTTCGACGCGTCCTTTTGAGTCAACACACATTAATGTGCAAGGACTTTCCTCGTCGTAGTATGGTTGCCATTCGACGATTTCTCCATCGTATGGTTGATCATTATATCCAGAACATTGGACAGCTCGAAAATCAGCACCATCGGGACAAGGCTATAAGTAAAATATCAAATTTAAGTATGACTTTTATGTTATTTGAATGAGATAAAAAAATTGCCACTAACACATTTTAAATCGAGAGTATAAAAAAAATTCAATGATAAATTTATATGATTTAGTCCTAGCACAAAATAAATTTCACTATTTTATAACCAAAGTTTAAAAAATACCTTCTAATGCTATAACCTATCAGCTCTACATTTTAACATAACAATATGAACAGAAAAAATAGCACAATTTTTACGTTTTAATATTAATTATAAGTAATTTATTATATGAAAATTAGTTTATGTTACATGTGACGCATATAAAACTTTCACAACTATATATTTCCAAAAGATTGTTCATAATTTAAATAGTGTTATTGGCAGCTTCAAATGCATCTAAGTTTATTATAAGCAAATTCTTTTGAGGAAATAATTTTAGGTCACAAAATTCAAATATTAATTTTGAATATTTTCATATTTTCATATTTTAAAAAGAAATTATTTTTCATGTCATTAAGTATTTTAACAATACGCTTAAAAAAGCTGCTTTCATATTACCAATAAAATTATGGAAATCAAATTTTATTTTAAGATTTTTATCGTTTTAAATTCATCGCTGGTTTATAATACAAAATGACACTTGGTTTTTTTAACCTCAAATTAAAATAATTTTAAACTTTTTTATTTTTTACCACATAATTTTATTCTGAGACTTTTCATTATTTAAATACAACAATTTATTTTACTCGAATGCTTGAGACGTTTCTTTCTCAAAAATTAAGACGTTATTTCACTTTCAATATAATTCTTCAAATCTTTTGGGAGATTTATTTTCATTTTAAATGTATTATAACTTAAATTTATTTTTGTATAAAATATTTTTGACTTACTTCCATATTACAAATTTTATATCTAACGTGATGGCCTTTACAACCAGCAATTGCATTGCATCTTCTAAGCTGGTACATGGCTCCACCATCACAAGTTCTAGAACAAGACGACCATTCGGACCAAGGTGACCATGAGTTTTCGTACTGAAATTTAAAATCATGATTCTTAAGAAATATCATATACTCAGATGAGTACGCGAATTGCCTATATAGAACGCCGTTCAAATAGAACTGCTATGTCAATAGATTAGTACCGTTTAGTAATATAAAATTAAATTCAATTAAATATTAATTTTCTGTAAATATCAAATTTAAATATAAATAGCATTAGTAAATCAACAAAAATAATTAACAAATTGTAATGATGCATGTGTATAATATACACGACAATATAATTTTGTAAACAAATAACATGCATAAATAACACATATATCAGCTAAATTCTATCAGTTAATATTAGCACTGATTGTGTATTATCAATATTTGCTTAGTAATAAAAAAAGTGTGACAGATAATGAGTATGGTTGCGCAAATTGATTTCAAAATCAATATATCGCTTGCAATTATATTGTTAAATGATAATATCTAACCCTATAGTATTGATTTATATCTATATATTTCTAAATTTATTTTACACAAATTAGAGCTAACAAATGTTGTTTTTTAAGTGCTATAAGGATAGTCCACGATATTTTACACATTTAATAATTTTTTATCCAGAAAATATGTTGTGTTAATAATTTTTACAGCTTTAGACAAAGCTAAAAACATATTTTGTATTTTTTTAATTAAAGAAAAAAATTATAATTTTTTTTTAATGGATCGATAACAGCGTTAGAATAAATATTGTGTTATAAACATTTTTAATACATAAAGTGGATATGTAGCATGGGTCGAGTGCATATACAACAGGACAATTGTACTCACTGGTACTACATAAATCTAATGAAAAATATTTAAAACAATAAGTTATTTGTCATTAGCTTCTTCTTGCATAAATCTAACTTCTTTTCTAAAAAACAACAATTTTGAGTACTGAAAATATGTAATTATTTTCATATTTACGATATATGAGTAGATTAATGTATTCAACTGAAAATAACGACGTTTGGTACATTATGTCCTTACCCACATATTGATTTATAAAAAAAAATGAAATACAATAATTGTTGTCCAAATATGGATTTATTTGGACATGATTCAACATCAATATTCATAAGTATTATCGATATTATTTGGCCATTTCTAGTTATTGATGTAATTCTTCCTTCTCCAATATGGATTATTAAATTTTGTAAAATATGTAATGTAAATTTCATTTTTCTATATAACGAAAATTTATTACTTTAGGTATTATTGGTCGAGTTAATAATATAAGTAAGAAAACGATGAATCTTTGTGTATGGGAGTCAGCATTTACACACCGGAAACAAATGGATATAAGGTATCATCGAGAAGACACAATCACCAGCAAACCAAGGTCAGAAATTAACAGCATAATGCTAATATAAAAACATAAATTAATGTAAATAAAGTATTGAATTATAAAATAAATAAAACTTAACATGATATACTGATTTTGATGTGTCCATAAAAGATGTGTAAAGAGATAAATATTGTAATAAATATGTATATAATAGTTGTTTTGTTATTTAAATAGTCCTGAGTGAATATTTATATGCTAATTAATCAAAAAATTAATGATAATAAACATTATATAGGTATTTTTATAACACATAAATTACAAATTTTACTAATTTAAGTTATTAACTCATTTTTAAACGAAATAATTTTTATGCATGTACGATATAATGTTTTCTCATCAACTAAACAACATTTTCTTTAAAACCAAAAAGAAAAAAATCAGAGAACCTTTATGAATTCGATTCGATGTCTAGACTCAATGGATTTATTTTTTAAATATTTACAAAACTAGTGATTTAAAACACTCAATTATTATACATATTATCATTACTTGTTTATAATACTATTTTATTGATTTTAATAAATAGAATTTTTTAAAAATGACTTACATCATCTGTGTGAGTGGAGTTTTTGAGTGTTGTTTGACTATCTGATTTAATCCATGATGATGATAAAGTTCCATCAACTTTTTTCGAAACAAGCAATAACTGAAAAAAAAATCGGTTGTATTATACGAATAAAAATAACGTTTTTTTACATATACTTTTTATACATTCAATGTGAAAAAAAAAGAGTAACTTTTTAATAGTATAAAAAAATGTCAATTTATTCGATACTTTCGATGACAATATTACGTATGTTGCATTATTACAGTTAAATTCGACAAAGAATGAAAAAGAGAAATGTATGAGACAAAAATTATAAAATACATAAATTTATTGGAAACTTTCTCAGCTTTTTTGCAATCTATAAGAAAAAATAAACAAATATGAGTTTTTTTTTCATTTTTGTTATAATGTCAGAACGTGCGTACCGAAAAAACTATATTATGTTCGACAACGGCACGGAATGGTGTACTTGATTTGATATTCCGAGCGGAAGTAATATTTATGACAATGTCTTCCAAATTTGGTATAGACTTCAATGCTTACTCTTTACTATTTTACTTTTATTATCTTCTACAACAATTCTGGAGTTCTCTATGAATTATTACTAGACTTTCAACGTTGTTCGCTATGCTTATATATCAACGTCGTCCAACGACACGGACAAATTATTGTTCAAAATAGTTGAGTTCGTAAAGTTAACCTGAAGGAGTTGTAAATTAATTATGCAACTGACCAGGGGAAATAATACAAATTCAACTATACTGCTACGTAGAATGTTTTGATAACCAGTAAATAATTATTACGTTGCATGTTTTTAATAATTTGTACAAGATTCTTTAGTTTGACTTTACAATAAACTGTTTTATCCACTAAGTATGTAACAAAATTATGAATATTACTTATTGTAGAGCATATCCAAAACTTTGAATTAATGTTAATTAAAGTAAGTTCAAGTAATCAACTTTATCAATTTCGTAACATATTAGAAGCTATTAGAATGATTTTGCTTTTAAACATTAGTTTAAATATTAGACATTATTTGATTTATGTTTGTAATACCATATCACTTAAGTGATTTGGTAATTTGAAATGTGAATTTGAAAACGTGGTAATTTGTCTATTTAATCGACTATTAAATAGTCGATTAATAATAACCACAAGAATACAACAAATTTTGTTGTATTCTTGTCATTTTTCTCGTGTAAAGTCTTTCATAAGACATTAACAGGTTATAAGATGTATTGATTTACACGTAAGTTTTCAAAATCATTTACGCTTGACAAATATTCATGATGCTATGTATTTAATTGTATTATTTATAAAACTAAATTCATTACACAATCTTATATTTATTATCAATCAATATATTATTTTGTTGAAAATATAGTAAAACATAACCTTAAAATGTGTTTGTTATTACTAATTTTTGAGATTCTAGAGATTCTCGAAAATTCTGAAAAATAGATTTTAATGTTCCTAATTATATTACTTGACATGATACACTGTTCTGAGTATAAATATGCTTTCAAAATTATTTTAAATTAGTTTAGTCTGTTGTACTGTACGTTATCGGACTGTTATAAATGTTCAAATTTTGATTTCTCATACAATTATATATATATATAAAATAAACATTTTTCATATAATCATTTTACTGTTATATTAATTGTACTATATTTTGCTCTTATACATTCATAGTAAATCAATATCGATGGGTTAACGTCAATTTGAGTAGAATAATTTTGAACTAATAAAGTGAATGAGTGAGTATTAACTTGAATTAGTTTTTAAATTAATTATCTACTAATTTTCGTATATTTTTTTTACCATATTAAACACAAACAATTTTTAAAATATAAAACATATGCGGTACCTATACATAGGCAAAACTAAGTGGATTAGAGTTCGCTTATGTATCAATGTATTAAGTTTGTTTCGATTTTATCATTAATTTGCTATTTATTGTTTCTTTAGTAAACTTTAATAATTATTTAAAAAAAAAAAAAAAAGAGATAAAATAATTGTAAAAATAATAGTTTAAACTATATATTTTTCACCTTAAAAATCTTTATTGATAAAAATCATAAAAGAATCCCTTCTAAGTTTGTATTTTAATACAAATTCAGAAATGAGTACTTACACATTCTAGTTTGACAATTCCATAAAACATTCTCTAATATTTTATAATGTTAAATTTGGTTACATTTTATTGCTAGAACGAGAAAATTGTTATATATATATAACCTATTTTATGGATTACATAAAATATACATTAGATCGTAAAATAGTATTTTTTTATAAACGATTGCAATAATCATTAACGATAAAATAAAGTCAGTTTTGATATAAACTATTTCAAAAGTTCTTAAGGGCCAATAAAATGTTATTTACTTTATAAATCGTGTTTTGTGTTTCTTTTTAATTTAAGAATTAATTATTTAATTTGAATAATTTTACATAATATTTGTTACAAATATATATTTTGTAGGGGTATAAATCTCAGTTTCATTGTTGTTTATTTGGGCGCGTATATAACATCCAGTAATTATATTAATCATTTTCATACTGTATTATTTTATGGTTTTAGCCTCTCTTAGAATTTCTTTTACTAGTTATTTTGCATTACAACGTTAAAAAACCGTTATATTTTTTATTGCTATTTGAGTATGTTAAAAGATGTTATTCTGTTTTACATTAATCGGAATTACATAATTAAGTAGACATGACGGACAGTTCATTGTTGAGTAGGCCAACATTATCGTCGGTTTCATTAAAAATGAAATAATTACTTTGTTTAAACAATAAATAAACTAGTTGTTTGTTCAACGCCTAAAGCTTTCACTATAAGTTTATCTCATTTATAATAAAACAGTTAAATGGATATTAGTTTCGAGTTTTAGTTTAACATTTTGTTTGAATTTTGTATAATATTAAAGTTTTAGTAGATATTACAAAAATAAATATTATTAATTTTCGAATACTTTATAAATCACTAATATATATTTCTAATGATAATTTTCATAGGATTGGACAACTGATCATCTGGTTTTTACGTACTTACGTCGATATATTAAGTATTATTCATCTACCGAGCAGGTATTGTTTTATAATAGTATATATTTGACCTAAAAATAAACTATTACCAGAACAATTTTTAATCATAATACTTAAAACATGCCATAAAACTACTTGAAGATATACGAATATATGAATTAAAATCTAATGAATGTTTAATTGGTATGCTTTGCAATGTAGAAAAAAAAAATTTCTAGGCATTGTTAGATTTGTGCGTATGTTTAATGTCAGTATTTACAAATGGGCAGGTAACGGTGTTTGGGAGTTAAACCTGTTGAGAAGAATCAGGGACGTAACTAAATAGTCTTTGTTAACGCTATGCAGTTAGTAATTAACCAAATTATAATGCTCTTGGCAGCGACAACCATAATTACAGTGCCAGTAATAGCTGAAGACTTGGTGATGTTAAAAGGGCGATAGCAGATGGAGGGTCACAAAGGGTGAAAAGTAAAAGTTATCATTTAATAAAATCTTGCATATTCTCAATGAAGTGAACCACCCGTATAATACCTCTTGATGTGTTATATCCGCTATGTCAACAAGCGTAAATGCTCATTTTGAATCACGGGGTACAAAATAATACGACTTTTACAATATCATCATGACACCATATTCGTTTTATTATTAAAAAAAATTATTTTTTATGTAAAACATAAATAATCTTTTTAAGAATATAAATTAAAAGTTTCTTATAACTTCAGTTATATGTTAAATAAATAAAATTAATTTATAAAAAAAGTTACAATTTTAATGAATTCACTATATTTAAAATACTTATCGTTTTAAAAGTTTGTAAATAATTAATACTTGAACATATTACTCAAAGTTCTTTTAATATTGTCAAAGAAACTCTTGGATAATTAAAAATATAAAAGTATTCAAAAAGTCTTGATTACATCACAATTTTCATCTGATATCTTAAGTAAGGTACTGAAAATATCAACAGAATATTATATAGATATTTTTAAATTTCACTACAGATCAGAAATGCAAATTTGTAAAAATATTATACTGGTTTTTACAATATTTTCATAGTTTTAATATAATTATTTTGTAATAATTATAATTGAATAGTTATTATTCAACAGATATCTTCTAATGTTTTCAATTTGTAAGATATTCTAGATTTCTATAAGTATTATGTAGGTTTTGAACAAATTTGATCAAATATAAAAATTTGGTTTTATAAAATTTTAATTAAAAATTATAAAAACCATATCACATCATAAATATGCAATATGCCAAAATATTTAGATAAAATAAGAAAGTAACATTGAAAATATGGCAATTTTCAAATAAATTTTTCAATTTAATAATTGATCAATTCATCACGTAAGTCAATTTTTCAAAATTCTATTTAAAAAAAATTAATTATTTTTTTTCTGAAATTGGTAAAGAATAGTTTTCTTGTTAGCTATAATGCTATTAAAAAGTAATAATAAAAGGTGACCCCTACATCCCCTAAAAATAATAATTTCGAATCATGTAAAATTAATTGATGCCGTCAATATTATTTTGTAAAATGACAACATTTTATTGTTTATAATTGAATAATTGGCATATCCTAAATAATATTATTATGCTCACAACCCAATTGATAACGATTATCATTCATGCCTTAGACTTTAACCAGAACACATCACTCGACTATTACTTTCTTCGACCATATTATTATCCTAGTAAAATTAACAAAACACAATCACGTAGAGAGATGTTGCAAAAATTTAAGGCATAAAAGCTATCATTTTAATTAAAAATTTAGCCAGTAATTGTAATAAAATAAAAATTAAATATAAAATTATATTTTGGCGATAAATTGATCGACGCATAATCAATGTCATCAGTACAATTTACAAGAGTATGTCCGATTACATTAAATTTAGATAACAAACAATAGATTTATTGTTAAATTACTATAGATAAAATTATTATATTTCTGAAAAGTTCAAATTTATATGAAAAACCACATAAAGATATATTTAATCCAGTCATATGCGCTAGTTGTGCTTCAATATAACTTTAAA